AAGGTATTAAAAACACAATCCACTGCTTTCAGAAATTAAAGAGACTCACTTGATTCCACTCAGATGCATAATACTGATGATTATGGTTGCTTTGATGAAAAACAGAATGAAGAAATCCACCATCTCGGCCAGGAGTCTTTGGAGAGGTGAGGGAATGCTGTACTCCCGACCTGGCGAAAAGGAGCCAACAAAAAAAAGCAAAGTCAAACAGGTACAGTAAACTATATGGTCAAACGCACTAATGATACACACCGTAATGTGATTGTTGAAAGTGTCATTACACAAGATTTAGGAACCAGGCTGCACAGATTTACTCAGGACATTGACTGTTCCACATAAATACAAAACAAAAAAAAGTAACTAAACAACAAAACCATACCACAAATGCTATAAATCACATCAGATTTACATAAAGTGGATGCAGTGCAACAAATGAATTATTCCTATTACATTCAATGTTGGAATCAGGTACACTGAGCGTAATTAGAAGCCATGACCTAATTTAACAGGTTTGACCGACTGTGGAACCTGTATAATCAAGCCTGTGGATCTCTAAATCTTCTGTGTGAAGGCAAAGGCTGATAATTTTCAAATGAAATGTGAGAGGGATTTGACGTTTTTACCTGTCAGAGACTACGCAGCTTGAAAACTTGACTCAAGCGTTTGACCCACAATCTTTGAGCAAATCTAGCCAGTCTATATTTAAGCTAAACACAGAGATGTTTTTACCATATACTGATTCCATACTGCAAAACACTCTGTATTATAGATTGGAAAAACAATATCAGGATATGTTTGTTTGCTCCAAATGACCTCAGTCTCTAAAAGGGGAACACCACCTAAAACTTCCAATATGGTATTCCCATGGCCTAAGAAAGTTCAGTCAGTTTTTGTGAACATGGGCTACTCTCTCAAAGCCAGAAACCAGAGACTTAAGTCAGTGTACTACTCCATAAATAATGGATGAGAGAGTGATTTTTCGGACCCACAGAATGTCTTTTTTTACCCATATGAACTTTTTTCTATTGTAGTGTTCTCACCTGTATGCTCAGAGCATTGTGCTCTCACTGTCATCTATAACATCTTCCACAATCCATTGCCAATGGAGCAGCTCCAGACTTTATACTCTATGACCAAGGGCGTAAATAGAGACAGTGCAAGCACTGCAGTAGCACTGGGGCCTGTGGGGTGGAGGGGCCTGACTGCCTCCTGGAAATTCACCCATGTTCAAACTCAACTTAACTAAACTGAACCCAAGTTAAATGGTGCAATTTTCTACATAAGCCCTCAAAAAGGCAAACCCATCTCCATTATGGTTTCTGTTTTTGTAAAATAGTATCAATCTATAACAAAATGATATGCTTATTCTACATAAACTATAAAAATTATAATTTAACTGTAAAAAACTATTTAGGTAAACTACTAATTTCCTATTTTCTTTAGTAGTTTTTGTCATATACAAATATGTAATGATGATTGCTGGGTAACATGTATGATGATATTGTCCAGTATCAAGTCTGTGTTCAATCATGTAATGAGACGATTCAATGTACAGTAGTGAGTTTAGGTGCCAAATCTCTTAGGACTGACAAGCTGGGCACATCTGCAAGTGGATAAAACATAAAAGAGGCAGAAAGACACACTGTTGGTAAAATACATATATGCCTAAAACTCTGTGTGTGTGTGTGTGTGTGTGTGTGTGTGTGTGTGCTTCATAACCAGTAACTAGCGCACATTAGGGCCTGTCATAATACCTTGCACTGGGGCCCATCCTAACTACCTTAAGCCACTGTCTATTAGGGCTGCCACTAACGATTATTTTCATTGTCGACTAATCTGTCGATTATTTCTTCGATTAGTCGACTCATCATTTCATTGAAAAATGTGTTAAAATGTTGAAAAATGTCGGTCTGTCTCGCCCAAACCCCAAAATGATGTCATCTAATGTCTTGCTTCGTACTCACGCCAAAGGGTTTTAGTTCACTGTCATGGAAGAGTGTGTAAAGCTGCCAATATCTGAACGTAAGAAGCTGCAGTAAGAGTATTCTGGGATACTTTTATAGTGCTTTTCTATGAAAAATGACTCAAACCGATTAGTCGACTACTAAAATAGTCACCGATTATTTTAATAGTCGATTAGTCATCGATTAGTCGACTAATCGTGGCAGCCCTACTGTCTATGACATAACAAATTTGTGTTTTAGCACTCTCGTTTTGGGAATTGGAACACAGCTGTTCATGGTTACTAATATTTTTTGCAACAGATTAATCTTAAATCTAAGTAATAACAGGCTTGAATTTTTAAAGTCTGTGTAGCTCCCCTTTAAGAGAGTAAATGCCTTGCTGTACCTTACTACAAATGTAATATGTGCACTCAAGAATAAAGCAGCGTCCACACAGATGCCCAAATATGTGTAGGTTGATATTTGTTCAATCTGTGTGTTGTGGACAGTAACTGATGGAGTTTAGGTGTGTGCTGGAAGACCAATGGGGCATTTAATGCACGGTGACCATGTCAATAATGTGGTCAAACCATCATTTGGTATGTTCTCACGTTGCATAAACAAAGGGTGCATACTGTGTCCTGTGCCCTGTGTGATAAATGCTGGCCTGAATTTAACCTGTAGAAGTACAGTGAACACAGCACAGATGCTCAGGCACCATTATTTGGTTGTTGGGTATCTGGCAACGTTAAGTGGTTGTCTGTAACCCCACATTCTAACAACCTGGAGAATAAACAGTCAGTCAAAGTTAGCAGCTTTTACCTGGTCTCGGTGCATTTCCATTCTCCTGCGGCTGCTGCTGCTGCTGCTGCTGCGGCTGAGCGGCCACCGCACCCCCGCCAGCGGCTTCACCTGCCCGTCTGCTTTGGGAGGTGACAGCAGGTGGATAAGGCGACAGCGGAAGACCAAACGCACCGGTATACCAGCTGTGGGAGTTGATATCAAGCGGTGTCGTCGAGGTCCCACTGTCTGTCTGTAAATAATACGGGTAGGACATGGCTGACGCTGCCATCCAGCTCTGCCAGTTCATATACCCAGTGTAGTACTGCCACATCCACCCCTGCAGCTTCTCGCAGTACTCCGTCGTGGAGCGGCTCTCACCGGCGTCTTTCTTGCCCTCGACATTCTTGTGACTGCCTATTCTTTGGGTAACCTCGTCAACGAGTGGCTTTTCTGTGTTTGCAAAAGGTTTATTCTTTTCCTTATTGACTTCCATGTTTGTGTTTTCCTCGTCAGCCATGTTTGATGATTGCGTCGCGTCACGTACGACGTCTTCCGGATCATTTCACCTGGATGACGACAAGATAACTGTAAAGTAAACATTACAATCGCGGAAACATTACTGTTGTTGACTTAAATGAATCAAATATTCATTTGCTAAAGACAGACAAACTCTCATAAAAATCTTGTCCATGTCGCGACTAAATATTCTCGCCTATCCCACCCCTTTATTAGGATATAGTGGTACAGTCCAATTATTGCCTGCTATTACAAGTATCAGCCGCAAGGGGGTGGCATTGCTGCGAGATATAAACTGCAGTGAGCTGATAACATTTGGGTTCTTCATGTGCACATTATGTAATAATTTAAATGAGCAGGTAAAGCAAAACGACATATAATGTTACTTTAGTTAATTTTGCTACATGCAGCTATGATTATCACACCTTTAAATGGTTCTTAAGTGATGAGAAGATTATCTCAAAATTATTGTAGCCTAGTTTTGAAGAAGATTTCAATTATTTATTACTGCAAACATTTGCTAGAATAAATACTTGACATTGTTGGCTGCTGCTCAGACTCAAGCAGTATAATACATCACTTTAGATTTAGTTAATGTATCATAGATAAAATAATCGAGTATAACTACAAGTATTTAAAAAAAAATGAAATAATGAATGAAATGGGTATAACCACTGGATCCTTTCAACAAAGCAGCTCAGTTGAGCAAGAACAGTTTCTAAGAATTCATCAGCTCATGGTGTGATTGTGTTTAAAAGGGTAAAACCATTTCAAAGGAGGTCCACTTCTTAAAACCTTCACCCAAACACTACCCGAATAAGCTTAATCCTTAACAATGGGGTATTCAGAAATATAAAATGAGTCTGGGAGAACTCAACGTGCTCTCCATGCCCTCTGTTATATGTAGTTGAACAGAAATTTGCAGAAAACTTCCAGACATATGCAATATACCTAAAACAAAGTACGTGTGCATGTGGCATGGTCTTATATAATGTGGCACTCAAGATAATGAATCAGCTTTGCATTAGCGAGCACTCATTGTTGCTCGAACACCACCTGGGGTCACAGTCATTCACCAAATCCTGGAAATCTTTTGGAGAATTTGGGCCTCAACCTACTGCCCCAAAGAACCCTAATTAACACAAATTATGTGCACTTGCTTGAGCTCCACGTCTGTGCATCCAAGACAAGAGGGGCCTGGCACAAATGAGGTCAGTGCTCTGACCCCAAGCAGGGATTTGACCTTCCCACCTCCCATTCACCCACATCTTTATCATGGGAGGGCTGCCCTGATATGACATGTTGCTTTTCCTTGTTTGAACAATAGGCCTCTGTAAAGCCCCCTGACTAAGTCTAATAGCTTTAAAGATTGGGAGCCATGAGGGGTTTTAAAAATTAAGTAGCTATTGTATCGAATGTTATACCAACATGTTGGAAATACGAACAGCATTCAAGCTTAAAACGTAATTAGCACATTGAAAATAAAGATTGGTGTTTGTATTTGTTGAGACAATAAAATTCTTGTGTGAAGTTCTGTTTCAGGAATGATCAGCTATATTTCTAGTATTGATAAAAGCTTAACACACTCCAATTTAAGTTGAGTTTTGCTCCCTTTGCAAGTGTGTACCAGCATTTAAAATCTCACATGGAGGACAATGTATTAAAAAAGGAAGCATGCAAATCACATCATTTGCATATAATGTGCAACCCAACACACAACACTAATTTGGTTATATTCATGCACAACTATTACACAGATTGAAGTGTCACAGTTCAGACTTTATTGGCATGTTTGACATCAGTGCATTTGGCATCCTGTAGTGGAACAAAGGTCCATACTGAACATGAGGTTTAATTAAGCTTTCTCATAGGTCCTCACTGCAACCACATCATCCATGATGCATTTCTGTTGAGACAATAGTCAAAATGTTAGATCTTACATTGCAATCAAAGATAAAATGCAGATATAACCATTTAAAGTTAAAGGATGCATTTGAAAATGAGATCTACATGCAGTTAATTACTCACAGCTGTTAGTTTTCCATCTAGAATCTCTCTTTCTAGTGTCGTCTTCTTTCCATCCCAGCTCTGCTCTTGCACGAGTTTGCCATTGTCAAAAGTGATGATAGTCTGAAAACAAATTTAAAAAATGTAAAAATGTGTCAGAAGCACTATGTTGAGTCTTTAAAATGAGGCTGGCAAAAGGATTACCCACCTTGGTTTTTCGGCCGTCTGCAGTCGTCTCCTCGAACTCCTCGCTCAGCTTGAACTTGATCTCAGTGGTCTTGAAAGTCGTCTCAGACTTCATTGAAACAACTCCAGCATCGTCCACGCTGATCACCAGGTTAGGCTTCGCCATGTTGCCCATTTGGCGGGTGGCGAAGCCCACACCTTCAACACAATGAATGAGATGCTGTTGGGATCATGCTGTCTGCTAACGAATCATTCAACGATGCATTAATCTGATTGATATCAAACATGCACCTACCGAGTGCCTTCATATAGTCATCAAAGTTCTCGCTGGAAGTCAGAGTCCAGGTCCCGACAAACTGCTCGACCATGATGGTGATGGTGAGGATGAATCTCAGTCTCCTACACAAACACAAGGAGCGTCAGGATCCTCCGGTGAAGCGCACAGAGAGACTGAAGCTCTGGGGAAATGACATATTTGAAGCCTGGTCGAACACGTGCTTGATTCGGGCTGACCAATAAAGAGCAGGTGCTGCCGTTGCCATGGAAACGACGGGGATTAGGGGGGCGTGTTTTTTTAAATCAGATTTTCATGATGTGTTTGATGGCAACGGTGAAAATGGGAGTTTATCCCGGGTCTGCTGACTGCAGCATTAAAGTGCTGCAATAATATGACCTGATAGGATTTTGGTGTGTGTGGTTTTATGTCGCCCCTGCAGGAGGAAGGATGCAGACGTTTTTTTTCCATTAAATTATACATTATGCTCGATTGTGCAAATATACATTGCCGAATTTACCTTTATATGAAATATGCTTATAAATAACTAGTTTTTACTCTTGACATAATCATGTGATGGGTGATGGTGATGATGTTGACGTTGATGATGATGACAGTGGTGTTAATGTTGATACTGATGGATGCTGTTTGTGACCATTGTTGTTACAGATCACTGTTGTTGAGTATTTATATTCTCATGTGTTATTTCATGTCTTTTTAAGTGTGTTTTTACTTGCTTTGCAACTAATTGCCCTCTAGGGTCAAAATAAAGTTGAAGTTGAAAAAAATTCAAAATTGAGCTTTTTTGTATAGGTGAAGTTGACCTATTAAGAGATTTAGAAATAGTTTATATCATAAGCAGCTATAGCTAGAATATCTTTCACTACAATTGTATTTACTGATCATAAATTCCTGTTCGGTGTAAAAATCTGTGTAAAACTTACCCAGATTTCACATATCACACCATAAACAGCACCACTCCCTCTAAGTGAATGATGATACTGGATTTGACCAGCAGATGGTGCCTGTGAAAAGCAAATAAAAGTTAGTAGCCCAGGGGTGTTAAACTCATTTTAGTTCATGGGCCACATACAGATTTGATCTTAGATGGGCCGGGCCAATAAAACCATCGCACAATAACCTTTAAGTAACATCAGCTCTAATATTTTCCTTTTTTTGGTAAAGAATTACAAGTACATTCTGTAGACGTTCATCCTTTTACAAAACAGATAAACAGCCTGAGATGTCTCAAGAAGAATAAGTGCAATTTCAACAGTATGTCTTTCCACATTTAGTCAGTCTTTACATGTGCATTTATCCATACATTTCCTGATACAAATTATTTTGAACTGAAGCTGCTGATTGACAATATTTTGCACAGTGTCCAATATCTTTAAACATGGTTACAGTAAGTATTCATTGTTACACCAGAGAAGTGTATTCTTGTCAAGATGGCAAAGCCTCTGAGGTAGAATTTTACATGAAGTAGGCAACACCTCTTAGTCCAGTCATCAAATGGGCCAGATAGCACCCTTTGGTGGGCCGGTTCTAGACCATGGGCCGTATGTTTGAAACCTCTGTCTTAGAGGATCTCTTCATAACTGAGCATGTTTGGGACACTTTATAAAATATGTAAGTGTTGAAATAGATAGATAGATAGATAGATAGATAGATAGAGAACTTGGTGCCTTAACAACACTATAAAAACACTACAGCAGAAATCAATCAGGTATCAGTGGACTGTGTCTAAATGTCAGCACTGCCTCCCAATGGTTTCAGTGATACATTACACAGTAGGCCTTAAAACACACAGCCTTTGAGTTAAAGTTGCACTGAGAGAAAATAAAACTAAAAACACAAAAAAGTTGATCAACTTTATCTTCTTGTTCTGCTGTTTGAGTAACTCTCCGATCTACTTCAAGGCTTTTCCAGCCATTAATAAAACAATATGTCCTGAACGAGTTGTAAACAAGTACAGACTCAGCTGCTGTATAATAGATGAGATTTCATTTATTTACGTATTTATTTATTTCATCTAAATCCTCTCTCTGAACCCTCTCTATCAAACAATAAAACCAAGAGAAATGGGCTATAAATGCCTCTCCTTTTCATGTGGGTTGTCGGCTGAGGTGATGGAGTTCTTGAGTGCCGTTGCTGAGTGTCTCAAGGAGATCAAAGTGGGAACGAGTCTTCAGACAGAAATGATTGGCGATGCTCAAAGCAAATCAGATACAGATCAGATGAGCGCCCTGTGACACATATTCTCTGTGGATTAAAATGGATTCAGTTGTTACAACCTCCACTTGTGGCCTCCAACCATGTAATACCTTCACATTTGGGCCAGGGAAATTTGCTTTGTAAAATCACTTTAGACTGATACGTCACTGCCAAATGAAAGACAAAAGCAAAAGTTTCCAGGAATTAGTCAGGTTTTATAAACTGTGCATTCTCTGCTTTACTGTGGTCGAGAAATGATGACATGAATCTTAAGCAAGCATGCAGTTCTGTTATGAGATGAAAAACTCTAAGAACCTTTTTTTATTCTATCATGAGCCTAAAATAGTTCAAACAGAAATAGCAATGCCCTGCTGGTTATGTAATCAGTATGCATAATAATAATAATGAAGCTACTGACAGTGATGTAGTTGCAGAGAGATGTCCCCTGAGAGCCCATTTTTATCCTGTTCACTCTAAGAAGAAGAAGAAGAAAAACAGTTTTGCAGCCCCAAATGAGTCCGTTTGGCTCCAGGTTCTGCATGTCGTTATAATTTAGTCTCAGTGTTTCCAGCTTTTGATGAGAGATGCTCATTTTTATAAATATTAAACTGTCTAAGAGCACGGGGTGTTACATACATGACAGCCCCTTTGAGGTGGATTCACCCTTTTATCACGGCAGATGTTTGATGTATAATGCAAAATTAGCCATCAATATGAAACCAGAGAAACTGGAATCAATGCATGCCATATAGAAAGGCCTTAATGAGACTGTCACATGGCTGCAATATTTGATTTCATGGTCCAAATGCATTAATTATTCATTAACATCAATGACAGGCAGCAGTGATGTGATAGTCAAAGGGGCTGGGCTGTGATATATCATGGAATGTTGTTTACCAATCCAATAAGCCGATTACTTGTTGTCCTGTCACCCGGGGGGTTTCTGCATACATACAGGTGCCATCCAGCAGGCGCAGTGCACATCTAATGAACATGAACTCTCACTGGCAGCCACAGAGAAGTCCTTTCCTTCTGGTTTTCATCAACACTTCAGCCCCCATTGATGGGAGAACAGTGGCCACGGACAAAAGCTGTATATACTGTACAAACACAGCTCTGAGCGGCAGCACACTGACTCATTCTTCAGTGTGTGTGAGAACGGAGGGGGACCCCTTTCAGCTCCTTTGTGTTGGTGTCTGTCAACAGTGTAGTTGGAGGCAGAGCCCATTGTGGCGGCCAGTGTTTCGTATTGACACAGGGCCTCGCTCAGCTTGTTCCCAGGGTCCAACCTGAGGACTCATGAATAATGGAGAGAGGATCCTCAGGGCCAAGGGGGAGTTCGCAAGTCTGACTGGGCTCGTTATAATCCTGAACTACAGCTTTATACGCCGGCAGGTAAAACTGCGGTCACCACTGATCATATTGACGGTGAACTTTGCTGCACCTCTCTGCAGCCAACGATTTGACACTGAGAGAATGTGGCAGAGGAGCGGTGCTTCATGAAGTGCAAGAAATAAAAAGGGCACAAAACATTTAAAGGTTGAGGGTGTAGGATTCAGGGGAATATATTGGCAGAAATGGAATGTAATATAGTAGGCATATTTTCTTTAGTGTATACCTGAAGACAAGAACTGTTGTGTTTTCGTTACCTTATGCGAGATTTATACTTCTGCGTCGAATCCAAGCCTTACCTACAGTGTAGGGCTCTGTAGTTGTGAGCTGAAACCATTCCCTCAGTGGAAATGAAGCTTTTATTTACTTTAATTTCACAGATAGGAAACAAAAAATTGTAAAGACAATAAAGCCATCACAAAATAGCATTTTAAATCTTGTGTGTGATTTATCCTTTGGGATTTATACTTTGGGAATTATCTCTCCGCTCCTCACTAGGCTAATTTATACAATGTAAAATGCCATAGGCTTGTGCTAATAATGTTAGCATGTAACATTTGTCTGGACAGGTGTTTAGCATAAGACAGTTGTTTTGTCAGTGAATCTTGTGAGTTGTAGTGGAGTCAAATTTTGTAACGTTACCTTCGTTAAATGTTGCTGTAGTCCCTGGCCTCATATGAGTAGGAAAATTCCGCTAGCTGCTAGGCTAATTTATACAATGTAAAATGACATAGGCTTGTGCTAAAAACATTAGCATGTTGTATTTATGAGGAAAATGTGTCCAGCCAAAGACAAGTGCTTTGTCTGTGAATGCTGTGAAGCCAAGCCAATTTGTGTTCTTGTGTTTAAATTGTTGCTATCAAGCCATGCTTAATGTGTGTTGTGGGTGTGTTTTGAATCAACCGCAGACTAGTGTTTTGGAGGTGCAACTGCAGAGTGACACAGACACACCACCGCACAAGTAAGCCTATAAATGCTCACAACAGTGTAGGCCACATGCGTAGGCTACGACATAGGCTCTAATGATGCACAAGTATAAATCCAGCCTTAGAATGAGCCGTTTATATTTACATACGAGTGGGTCCTTTCCCACAGAGTCTGCCATATTGTTCTACTGTAGCCTAGAACGGACAAACCAAACACTAGCTCTGGACAGCGCCATTCACGTTTTTGCATTGGTCACCATAGTTAGCAGCCACTCCTCAATAAGAGTGTCGCAAAAAACACCAATATTTTTATTGTGAAGCTTCGTTAAGTGTTTTAACCAGTTTAAATCACCAGGTTTTGATTTGGTGAGGGGGAGACCTCTGGGCATAATTCAGCTCTCGATAAAACCCTCCTGAACATCTGGATCTTAAGTTAGCAGAAAAAAAAGGTGAGCACACATTAGCAGGTGCTGGGTAAGCGGCCCGTCTCCAACATGCCAAACAGCATTGGGGACTGATTTGTGTTGTGAAACTGCCTTATTTAGTGTTTTTAAAAGCATTAATCACCTGGTCCATTTGTTTTTTTAGAGGGGGAGAAATAACAACCTATAACACCTGTTTTCAGAGGAAGTAAGTCGTAAGTCTTTTT